GGGAGGGAGAGAGAGGGAGGGGGGAGAGAGAGAGAGAGAGAGAGAGAAGCATACCATATCTCAGTGTTCTTTGGGCTTCAAAATTAGTGAGAAACAATTAGGAAATGGTGTGGGCAAAAGTTAACGGAAAGAACTAACACAGCTTTGCATGTATTGCAGACACAAACTTCTTTGTAATTGTAATGTCTAAGTGATTGTGGGGCAATCATGGATTCTGTGTTTTGACTGTATTGGCCTTCTGGTACATTTGAGTCTATTCCGACCAGATGCTGCTGGACTCTTGGAAAATCAGAGAACATTTGCCATACACATGACGGACAGCCAGAGAATCAGACCTGAGTGGCACTGACCCCAGCCACACCCTTCATCAACCTTATTGGAGCCACACCTGCTCCCCACCCCTCTAAACACCTGCAATAGTAGTGTAACTCCGAGAAATGTCCTACCAATGATGTGTGTGTCCTCCTGTCTCTTAAATTCAGAAGGTTAGGTCTTATTTTGTCCTTTATTTTCCCATAATCTGACACCCCAAAGCATTTAACTATTTCACTTTGAGAGGCCCTCCTCCGTGGACACCACTTCCTTTTGCCAAAGACCCAGAGAAAACAGAGTTAATAGGCCCCAAGGAGCAGCATATAGAGAGCTTCCTATCAGTGGCTCCTCTCTTCCCTGCAGAGCAATGACATCATCAGCTTCTCCTTGCTGTGTTTATAATTTTGCAGCATCTCCTGACACAACATGAGCTTCCTGACAACCAGGCGAGCTGAACAGGTGTCCCACCTAGCATGAAGTCCAGTCCTGGCCAAGAGGAAGTAGCATTTGGATAAAGAATTTACCCAGCACTGTATCCCTCTATAAAACAGTTCTGAATAATCAGGGAGAGGGAGAGGAAAAGAAAAGGCGAAGAGCTGGGCGTGGTGGTGCACGCTGTAATCCCAGCACTCGGGGAAGCTGATGCAGAAGGGTCTCAATTTACCAAGACCCTACCTCAAAATAAAAAAAAATGTCAAAAGGGTTGGGGGATGTGGATCAGTATGAGAGCCTTGGGTTCAACCCCCACTACCAGAAGAGAGAGAGAAAAAAAGGAGAAGATCAGGAATAAGAAACAAAGATTAGTGGTAGTAGGTGCTTCAAATAGACTCCCAAGAAAAACCAAAACAAGCAAAGTACGAACTGAAGGTCTCCTTTATTGTTCTGAAAAACTATTCATTACTAATTGGGAAAGAAATTCAATAGCTCGGATGGCTCAGAAACACACATTTTTAGTAATGAGATTGGCCTCTGAACTCCAAGAGATCTGGTTTTCAAAGAAGACTGTTTTTGTTCTTTAAATCTATTCATGTCTAATTACAGAAGAAATTCACTTCGATGGTGGGGAAGCACATTTTTACGTAAAAGGGAAAACAAAGATCTGAGCAGAACATTACTTTTAACAAGATTATTTCATCTAATGAGGATCTTATTATGAATTTTAATGAAAATAAAAATACTAACAGAAAATACAGGAAGCGTTTACAAAGTTCCTATCACAGGAATTGGGTTAGGGCAAAACAAGGCATCATTAACACACTGCTGTATGGGCTGAACTTGAGTTTATGAGAAACTTTTTGAGGTAAAGATATGTTAGATGTATTATCCGGAAAATGCCAACTTATCCATTTTTTTCTCTTTAGCACAGTAATAAAACTGTCCAACCTATTTGATGTGGATTTTTCTGATTCATAAGAAATTTCAACATCTTTGCTACTGATTTAATCACATACATCACTCTTAAAGAAACTTTCTCTCCCATATTATAGGTCATTGACGTTATTTTCTTTAGAAGCATTGTTTAAGAATACAGACATGAAGCAATGAAAAGGAACCATTGTCTGCACTTTTGGTTTTTCTTCACTAAATGAAAATATTGATGAAAATATTTAGGAGGTTAAGCTGGCTATTGCAACTGTAATGTCCTTGAAGTATTGATTGGGCCTAATTTATTCACATAAGTTTCAAGCTATTCAAAGCCCTATTTTTCTGCCAGAAAAATAAAGACAGAGTTGTTATTGTACCGTCTGGTTTGCATGAGGAAACTCTTGGCATCTCTTAACTACACATTTTATAAATGCTAAATCCCAGATGGCATACATTGTAACAGTGGAGAGTTTCATAAAGCCTTCCAAAAACAAATTTAAAATTTGAATACTGGCTAGTCTAAGCAAGCGCTATGAATTTTAATTTTACAGTTGAATCAACTGGCTTTGTTAGCTGGATAAATTTCCTTGTTTTTTTTTTATTATGCTTTTCTCCTTCCTAATTAATTATTGGCTCTGTGACTTGAAGATTTCAATCAACATAATTCTTCCACCAGTGGGGTCTCCTCTGTACTCTGTGACCTGAATCCTCATCTGAAACTCAGGTTCTATAGACTGCAGGAACAATGATCATAGAAAAACCAATATTAGCTGCCAATTTGTTTCATGCTGGCAGAATGGAGATGCATTAGAGTGCCCTTTAGCAAATCACCAAATACCATCACAGCCACTCTAGCCTCTCACAGCCGATAACTGGATGGGGAAGGGCCACAAATGTGAATGCTAAGCATTGTGCCAATATAAAGCCAGTGTGGAGTAATAGCTGACAGCACAGGTTCTGAGATCAGAGACTGAAAGACAGTAAGCCTGAATTTGGATCTTGCCATGAAGATGGGCAAATTCCTTTTCTCTGAGACTCAGTTTTCTTATCAGTAAAATGAAGAGAATATTTTTCCAATTATTATTCACAAGGTTGTCAGAAGTATTTACTGAATTAATATTTGTAAAATACTTAGCACCATGTAAGTTGTGTTGTAAGCACTCAATAAGTGTAAATCGGTAGGGTACTACTAATAGAAAGTCCTTCCCTTCCCTAAAACAGATGAGATGGGGCATGTTCAGGGTGGTGTGGCCATAAACCTCTTCTTTAAAACAATCATAGATCTATAACTACTTAATTGTCTAAAATCTTCCTTTTCCTCTGCACTTTTCTCCTCAATAACAACAAGTAGGACTTAATTTATTTGCCCTATTCTTTATTATGATATAATTCAAAACATGTAGGGGCTGGGGATTTAGCTCAGTGGTGCTGCCACCTGCCTCACAAGCGCAAGGTCCTGAGTTTGATCCCCGGTACTGCAAAAA